CTTTTGGTGTTTCCGAACTGCTGTTTTGGCAAAACCTATACTCATTCATAGTTCACGAGCCCTGAGCTCTCTGTAGAACAAGGACTCCAGCTCATCCTTCCGTCATGCAGAATTCTCCCATGCTTTTAACCGTGAAGCTTGGCTCCCAAACTTGCTACTCTTTGTGTCTTTTAAGAGCGCATTAGGACATTTGAACATTGTCTTCCTCCATAACGGGTGGAATAAAGCAGGGCTACATCGGAACTGTCCCGGAGTCCACATTTTGAAAACTGAATTCTGAATCTTGTGTCCCGATGAAACAAGACTAGCCAGAGATCCTGGATAGAAAGTGAATGTGGGACCTTGAGACCATGGCCTCACACCTCTGACTGTAATTGTCCACATACATAAAGGATACGGGAAGACTTCAGCCTGCACGGGGCCAAGTATTGCATAGCCACCCGCATATGGATGTGACAGCCACCAGCTGACTGAGTTGAACCCCACCTCTGCTGCTCACTCCCTGTGTGACCTTGAGTGAAGTTCCTTAAGCGCCCACCGTAATGTCCTCATTTTCTAGTGGGGACAATATGAGGACTTGGTAGAATTCTGTGAAGTTTCAACACGGTAAGTATGATCAAAGTTTAAAAAGATATGAGAGCCTCAAATGACTATTATTGTTGCCTTTCATTATTTAGTTTTCAGTCACTTGCACGTACACACACACACACACACACACACACACACACACACACACACACAGACACACACACTTCTTCTCCCTCCTCCTCTTTCTTCCTCTGCCTCCTTCTTCTTCCCCCCCTTTCCTTCCCCCCCACTTTTACTATGAACTTGAGAGCTCTGGAAAACAAAACTAGAGGGTTTTTTTTTAGTTTTAGTTTTAGTTTTTTTTTTTTTTTTCAAGGCTCACAGCTGAAAAAACATTAAGGGAACGAAGAACCCTGTAAGTGCTGGCAAAATACAAAGGGTTCTTCCCTTCCCTTTGTTTTGTGTGGTAGGACAGTGGCCTTTTGATGAAATGTCGGAGCCCCCGTCAGCTGTCCAAGGAGGGTTAACTCTCACCTCAGCGGGAGCCTCATGCCATTAAGTCAGGGAGAGTAATGAAATTTCATTTAATTTGTCAGGAAGAAAGTGCTAATGTTAAAAGGCATTTAATAAAAAAAGGAAGAGATTCTTTGAAAGGGAGCCCTTAAGTAATTGCTTCAAGTATCCTAGGCCTGCTCACCAGAATATTTACATTAGTGTCTTACAGCACTGGTGTGTAATTAAATTAGTGCCACGTTCACATCCCCTGCTTTTTCCTCTTTTACAGAAGTGTGATTTTATTAATAATCCCCCCTTTTTAAAAACGAAAGAGAAAATGGCTTGATCCAATCAAATCAGATGTTAGCGTTTGTTTGAAATGTTCTTACTGAATCACTGGGTTAAAGTTGTGTGTGTGTGTGTGTGTGTGTGTGTGTTTAGGTGTGTAGGTGTGTTTTTGTATATATGTATGTGTATATATGTGTGTAGGTGTGTAGGTGTGTTTTTGTATATATGTATGTGTATATATGTGTGTAGGTGTGTATATGTGTTTATGTGCATGTATGTTTTGTATGTGTATGTGTATTCATGTGTGTGTGTTTGTAAATATGTATATGTGTGTTTATGTTGGAAAGAAGGGCTGGCTCCAGGATTGAGAAGCAATGTAGCTTCCTCATTCCTACCTGGAAAAATGGCATTGTTTATCTGCTATGGAGAGTCAGGTCTCAAACTAATTGTCAGCAGTCAGCAGCCAACACCCCCACCCCACCCAGATTCTCCTTTCCAAATGCCTGATATGCGTTCAGACACATAAGGAAGCAGCAGTGCCATGGGAGGCAGGTTCATCACTCATTCCTCTCAGTGCACGGGCAAGCTCAGGATGCCACCAGCACTTGAAAGAAGAGATAACTGATGTGCCAGAAGTGGGGAGCAAAGAGGGACCAAGACAGGATGCTTTGAGCTTTGGCAAGCAGGTGACGCGTTAGCAAAGGAGCTGGAAGGATTTCATTAGAAGTAACCTGCTGCTGTTTTCCAAGTTGATATGTGTAAGTTTCTTGTGAATGGGTCTGAGCACTGATGTATGAGTGGTTTACTTCAATCTGACTTGTCTCCCAAAGTGCAGAACTGGGGCATTGGCAAGAAAACAGGTTGCTGAGTAGAGGACAAAATAAAACCACCTAAGAAGGAATACAGGCTTCCATAGATCTGTCCTTCCCATTGATTATCGGGAAAGTCTGTAAGCTACCAGGTGCCGATGATTCTAGCTAGCTATTCTTAGAACTATGGGGAGGGTTAAGGGGGTGGATTTTGTTAAAGTGGGTCTGATTGCATCACCCATTTTCTAGCCATCATCCCCAGGTTTCCCTAGCCCCAGTCAAAGCCTGAACTTTTCGGAAAGGTCCATGTGTCCTCGGCTAATTTTCCAGTCTTGCCCTTCATGAATCCATTCGGCTCTTCAGTAGGGAAAAACTTCTTCATCTCTGCTCTTTTGAGCACATTTTTCTCTCTACTTAAATCTGTGATGACCATTACATTAGCCACTTGGCTTATATTGCTGTTGAAAGGACAAAGAAATTAAACAGATATAACACTATGCATGTATTAGCTGCATTTCCAGCTCTCAACATCTGTACATGGTAAATGACCCACATTTGGAAAGATGCAGTTGTAGACCTGTCATCCCTTGGCAAGTCTGTATTGGACATTCAAGGATATTTCAACAGTCAACTCTGATTTCTGAGTTAGCTATAGACTTTTTAGCTTCTGTATTATTTCCTCAAGCAGATTTTCCTACTCATGCATGACCCATGAGTTCATAAAGAGTTAGTTCATCAGCAAGACAGAGCAGTACATGCCCGAGATCCCAACCATCCTTTCTATTACCCCGCCCTCTCAAGCGGAGGTCACTGTATGATTATCCATGTTACCTAATAACCATCATCTTAGGTAGCCCAAGGACTTGACTTCTGGGTGAGTCAGCATCATGTTGTATCCACAGGAAGCAAGCAATGTCAAAATCCTTCCTTGAGTGTTTAGTAAACACTTTAGAAGTATGCTCTCACTATTGCTGGAGTAAGGACTGTTCATCTCAGTACAGGGATGGGTACTGAATGCTATCCCACTACAGCAAATGTAAACCTGAAGCATCAAGAGGTTAAAGTACTAGCCAAGACCTTCTGGCTAGTGAGGACCAAGAGAAGTGCATAGGCCCAGGCAGCCCAACACTAACCCATGTTCTTCTTCTCCCTGCCTTTGGTACTCACACAAATTAGTCCAAAGAAAGTAAGTGAAGAGTGCCTTTGAGCATGCTCTGAATCAGACAGTGGTGACTCTTCCACCATCTGCTATGTTTTAAAATCACATCGATTTTCCCAATAGCCTGACTACGTGATGTATTGTTTTTCCTTTGATAAGTACAATCTAGTCTCCCCTTTTCAGTCCCCAATTCCCCAGTGGGAATCAAGAAAGGACACTATACTCACTCAAAGTGAGAAACCATAATGTCTGGGGAAGTAAACACGACCAAAAACAAAACAAAACAAAAAACAAAAAAACAAACGAACTATAAAGTAATGCATTACAGCTTTGTGTGTCTTCCAGAGACAAGAGGCGTGGAGGCTATGAGATCCAAGTCATCAACTTTCATTTCCTTTGTTTCCACTGCCCAAGCCATGTTAATTAGCACTATCATTTCATTCTCATAACTGCATGTGTTACTAATGTTTTAGAATAAAAATGTTAGCGTCTTTTCAACAAGTTAAGTTGTCTATAAACAGGTCCCCCATCAGACACTAAGCCTCAATGCTACCAAATCACCATAGTGATTAATAAATCAATAATACTGTGGTTATACTTAGACACTATTATGACTGTTGTTGTTGTTTCAGACTGAATGTTAATCTTGAGAAGAAAAGATTTCCTAAGCCAAATTTTTTCAATTCAGCATTTTGGTTGAGGGGAACGCTCATGTTTGAAACTCGAGCTTCTGGTTTTCCCCATTAATATTGTGGTGGATGTGAAAGCAGAGGGATTATTGAATCCCCTCTGGGATTACGTCCCATTTTGTTAGAAAACCGCAGCCTCATGTGGGAAGCGTTCTGTTCTCTCAAAACTCACAGCTCCCTCAAACTTCTAGGACCTCATTCCAGGCAAATGATAGTCTACATATTTGGCAAAAAAAAAAAAGGAAAAAAAAGAAAAGAAAAGAAAAAGTCAAACTGACTATTGCCCTCATCATCAGGGAGACCTGAGCATAGACCTTACAATAACTTTCCCAGTCAGCCTTAGTGAATGACAGCTGTGATTTGAACAAGTGCATCCAATCCCAGGGCCTGCTCGTTCAGCAGCTCACTGTCTCTCCACCAGCAGGGCCAAGCACACTTACCTGAGTACATACAGAATTCTAGAAGGACTCTGTTAAAGTAGCTGGGGATTTACAAAGTTATTTTCATGTTTTGATCAAAGGATGCCATCTAACTAGAAGATACATTTCTGATTGTGAACAAACTTGAAAAATGAAGATAGGCAGCACGTTTGAAAAGAAAAATGCAAGAAAGTGTATCTGGTAAAGTGAGTTTTTCAATCTGGTTAAATAATTTGCCTAAGTAGATAAAGAAAAAATATCAGGGAACAATTATGTAAAGACATGTTTCCCTCTGATTTGCCATATAATATACATTTTGTTCAGTGGGAGCTGGTAGAATCATTCAATGTTTTAGATATTTTCTCTTTGCTGTCATTGTGAACTTGACACAGGACTGTACGTTCCTGCTTGCTATCTAATGTTGGTCTGTATAAAACTAAACTCACCATTTCTTCTCATAAACACAAAGGGGAAAAAGGCAACGAAAATAAGGTAGCTTTAAAAAAAAATGTATCCACAATGTCCTATTAGCAAGAGCGTCAATCAAAATCCAGATGTAATTTTTCTCCCAATCATAATGTGTCGCTAATGGAATTTTACAAATAAATGGATTGTACTCTCTTTCTTGAGAGCTATTTATACAGCGTGCTCATTCTAGCAGACGTTCGTGTCAGTTACTTAGCAGAATTGACCAGACCCGATCCAGTCCACTATGATCTGTCCTTCAGAGGAGAAGAAAACCAGAAGCTACCCAATAAGTAAGTCAACAACTCAAGAGGGGAAAAAAAAAGCGTCTCTGCTTTTAAGGATTCTGAAGTAGCTGGAAAAAATGGTGAGTGTTTTGATGCTGAAGTTCATCCTAAGGCTGGGGAAGAAAAGAACAACAGAGTACTTAGCTTTCTGAAGAATGCTTCTGGAGCGATACACAGCATGCCACAGAAGGGCGGAAAAGAGCTACGGCTTCTAAACACAATTAAAATAAGCGCTCGCATTAGTTAGAGTCAAACTACCAACCAAAGAAAACACAAAATGACCCCAAATCATGTTTACAGCCTTAAAAAAATAGATATTGAAATGGGGGCGGGAATGGATTGAGTGGAGATGATTTGTAAGGATGTGGTTAAAACTGTTTATACACCGGGCTCTATTTGTTTTACAGCGAGGGGTACAGGGATAGCACGAAAGGTTATCTTTGACAAGGTTTTAGCGATTATTTTCTTCTACCGAAATGGTATTTCTTGAGAAAAAAAGGTCTTTGGAACAAAATAACAATAAATCCTGATTTAGATACATAAACCTGCCATTGATATCACATAATATCAGTGTTCTTTCTCACTCGATACAGGCGTTTTAAAGATAAATGGTAAAACTGAACTGGAAATCCATCTGGCCGGCTGCCTGCTCTAATGAATAACCCCACTTTGGCTCCTGCGATGTAAGCAGAAACTTCTCTCCCGGCCTCTTTCGTCTGTCATGAATCTACAAGACAGCCGACATAATATCTGGGCGACAACGGCGCGCTAACAGTACGGTGACTTCCATTTTCTTTGCTTTCTATTGATTTTCACTTAATAACTGGCGAAATACTAAACGTCCGCCCTGAGTACCTAATAAATCCTGCCTGAGCTTTTTATTGAGGAGAATTTAATAAAAACAACCATTGCGGCTGAGGGATTTTTCTTCTGGACAGAACACAGGGGTAGGGGACAGTGAGGTTGGGGCAAAAGGAAGCCATTTAACTTTTTTTTCCTCCCGGTATAGAACTTCACCCCTTTAGACAAGATGGCAGCAATGTCAAGGATGCATGTGCCTTTGAACCAGTTTCCCCCGAGAGCAGCTGTAAGGTCTCCAAGGCGGAACATCAGGCCACTGTGAGAAAAGGGTGCAGAAAGCCTGAAGGGAAGGTTCAGCAAATTCCAACTGTCTGGTATCCTGTGGTAACTGGTTGCAAATTTGAGTGAAGGGTCTCTCTTTTTGTAACGCTGGTGGTCAAAACTCTCCATGTTATACTTCACTGATAGTTCAGGGTTGGTCCTGGGGGCGTTAAAACAGCTCGACCATTGATTGCCTCTTGGCTTCCTCCGAAGACTCGCAGGATTGTGAATAACTGGGAGGTTAGTACTGCACTCTCTGCACTCAGACAGTGGAATCAGGAGGATCAGGAGTTCAAGGTTACCCCCAAGTACACGGAGAGGTTGAAAGAAGTCTAGTCTACATAAGACCCTATCTCAAAAATCAAATGAAGAATCATGGAAATGAGTAATAAATGTCTTGAGGAGAGGAAGCTTACAAACTATTTTCTTCGGTGTTACCTTGAGTCTTAGGATTTCAATTTTGGATGTGTGGATTTTGGACCTCACACATTCTCATCAGCATCAATTTCTGGTCTGTTGTGGGTGTTTCAGAAAGCCTCCTGTTCCGCAGTGAGGGCTTTTCAAAGCATTCCACAGCTGATGGCTCCTGCCACTCCTTCCACTTTAATTGAGCCAGAGACTACGTTTAAGTCATCGGGCTTAATGATAAGTGTTCCCGGATTCTCTCTACATGTGTATGCTCCATTCCATTCTCAACAAAATGTCTAATGAAGAAGCCACAATTTTCAAAATGAAAAAGAGAAGCATGTTGCATCCTTAAAATCATGGGAAGTCCTTTTCCAGGGCTTTTGGACCCCCATCATCCCAGCAAAGCTATATAGGACTCCAATACTCAATGCCAGGGCAGCTTTTCCTACCAGAATGTAAGGTGAGACAGTGTGTCACCATACAGCCATAAGGTCAAAGACCTGTATTGAAACTGGAATCTTAGCTTTACCTACTAAAAATTGGGCTGCTCAATCTCTGAAAATGAGACATCATTGCCAAACTAATGTGTTAGGTACTCTTTTACTAAGAATCAGTTAAATAAACTAATATGGTAGGTGTCTTCTCATCAAAATCCAATAACTAAATTTACAGATATCCAACAAATGCTGCTGATTCCCTCACTGGGGTGTCTAAATAAATGTGGTTTACTGACAGACCCAGTGAGGGGGGAATTGACTAAGCCCAAGAAAGCATCCCCTTTTCCCCTGTATAATCTACAAGCATCTGACCTCTGGTCTTCTGTTACTCAGTTTCCCAATCTTTAAAATGGAATAGTTACTTATGTTTTGTGTGTGTGTGTGTGTGTGTGTGTGTGTGTGTGTGTGTGTGTGTGTGTGAAAGGATTTATTATGTTAAGTGCTTAAAAGACATCTTGATAGGAAGTCTGGGCTTTGGGTAATAATATTTGTGTCCAGAGGAGACCATTATACCCCCACTCTGCATGGAGAACCCAGACAGGGAGAAAGCCATTCACATGTAAGAACAGGAAATAAGTGAGACATCTCTGTACCTGCTACTCCATTCTGTCAAGAACAGAAAACTGTTTTAGTAAATGAAGTCTTCATTCTCCTCAGTGTCCCTGCATATAGAATCATGCGATAAATGTTGTTTGTTTGTTTGTTTGGTTGGTTTTTTTTTTGTTTTTGTTTTTGTTTTTTTTTTGGTGACATATAAATAGTGATACAGAGCAACTGAAGTAGTGACCCTTCCCCAAGAAGAATCTGATCACTATTCTGGTGAAATGACTCTCTTTATCCCTCTCCCTCTGTGTGTGTGTGTGTGTGTGTGTGTGTGTGTGTGTGTGTGTGTGTGTGCGTGCGTGTGTGAGAGAGAGGGGGGGGGGCTTTTCTTCTTTAGCTTTAGGTTAACCCTTGTTTATTCTTTCCTGGGCACAAGTTTGTGTTTCACACTAACACTGGCGAACATTCAGCCGGCCCACTAACTGAGACCTGGGGAAGAATGTTGGCAAGTTGACTCTCAGGTGTTGCCCAGGGTCCCTCTAATCACTTCCCCTAAAGGTGTATTGCTATTCAGATAATGTCTTCCCTGCTCCACAGAAGGTTGTTGTACTGAGCAGTGATTGTGACAAATGATTTACTATTAGGGACATTCTGTAATTATTGTTCGGTGGGACCGCAGACCGATACATCATTAACATGATAGACGGGCTTTTATATCAGCAAAAATAACTAAATTAATAAAAATGGCTTCATTCCAAACCCTGTCAGAAAGCCAATACTCAGAACAATCAAGTAGCAGTGGTACCTGAGAATGTCATGCTTTATATCCCCAACAAATCATGTTTTATGCATAAGTAATAAAATATTTGTATTTATAATCTCTATAATATGGGACTATGTAATATTGCAGATTTTTATAGAAATCAGCACTAAACCAAAAACGTAGGAAATTTAAATATTTTGCTCTCACAGTACTTAGACTTGAAATTTATGCTGTTATGCACTTGGGTAGAAGTTTGAAAAAACTAAAATTTGCCAATGACATTTTTCCTCTTAAGATTTCTTGAATGGTGAGAAACATTTTAACATAGACTCGATGGACCAGGATATGCTTCATTCCCTCCTCTTCCTCCCTCCCTCCGTCCCTCCCTCCCTCTCTCCCTCCCTCTTTTCTTCTTTTCTTCCCTCTACCCTCTTCTTTTTTTCAATAAACCACTAATCATTAAATATTTAACCTCACAAGTTTTACTTTTATACCCAGAATAAAAGGAAAGAAAGATGTATTTTTTGATACATACTCTTTGGAGTCTGCTATAGAAACAAAATGTGAACCATAGACACTCATGCTAAAAATCATTAAATCATATATAAGTAGGAATTACAGTTGTATTGCTAAATTCTCCCTCTTTATGTTGACAATAAATTTCAATGAGAAGTGAGCATTATAATAATGGAAAATCAAGGTGATGACTGAAGAGATAAAGAAAGGGATAAAACAGAGTATAGGTGGTTTTTTTTTTCTGTTCTATTCTTTTCTTCTTTCCTTATTTCACACTATTTCAATGTATTTGACACGCAAAAGTCTTGAGGGGAGATCTTCTTTGGCTTTCAAAATCCTTGGTGTTTTGGAGTTGATATAAGTACATATCCATGTGCTAGCCACCATGACCACCACCAGTGGGGTCTAAGCAGAACTCTGTCAACGGTCGTTAAGCACCTTTGAACAGGGCTGTGGAGAGAGGAAATAAAAAGACTGCACACAATGCACACCAGTTCCCATCTCATTTTGCTGCAAATCAGTTCAAGCTGGGTGAGACCGGTTTTCAGGTATGTGTAACCAAAGCCTGCTTCCTACAGATTTGTAGAATATGAATTTACAGGACTGGGTGTGGCAAACTGTCTAAACCAACCTAGCCTAGAATCCAGTTAATTTAAAAACAGCCTAAGTTCATTTTGTGTGATCCTATTTGGTTCTTTAAAAACATACCCCCTTTCAGAGCATTTTTAGTTTTATAACACAATTGAGATAAAAGGACATTTCCATTCCCTTCCTTTTCTCAACATGTGTCCCATCATCAATATCTGGCATCCAAGGAGTTCATTTATGACTTACATTGACAGGAGGTGCCTGGCCATAGTCCACAATTGATATGCATGCTCTACCCTGGTGCTGTGATTTCTGTGACTATTCCACATCCTGTATACAGGATCCTGTACACATCCTTGTCACACTCTAATAGGCTTTTCTACTTTTAACAGTATCTTTAAAGATTCAAATTCACCCTTTAGTAGATGCTCAGTAAAATGCAATTTGTTGCTGCAGCTCTTGCTACTGGAATACCGTAGACCTTTAGGAACTGGGTTCTTGTTACTTCTTAATTATACAGAGGCTTGAAGGACCTAATGCTTTATCCTGGGATAAAGCCAGACACAGCAGAGATTGTTTAGAAAGGTGTTGATGGCTTTGTGGAATTGCTATCAATGTAGTTACTAATTGTCTACGTGTTGAATGCTTTTATTTAGGGTGCTGTTTTAAAAGCAAGATCTCTCCCTAAAATTATTCGGAGGAAGGCTGCTGTAACAGTTGAGCCCTTCTGATGTTCCCGGCACATGGGAAATTAGTCTCTGGCGCAGGGGATGATGGGGAAATTGTATACAGCATAGTCTGCAGACACTAGGAAGAGACAAAAAATTCTCAAAATTCTGAAACCCAAGGGAAGCCAGAATGCAGTCGCCTGAAGTATCCTGCTTAGCAACGGAAGATAGGCAGCTGGAAGCAACCTTCCGAGGGTAGACAGCGACAACCACACAATTGATTTTATGGCAGACGCTTGATTGAGACCTATTTTAAACCTCATCTTCTCTGCTTTGGACTTCTCTTAAAGGAAGACAAACGCCCTTGAAAAGGAGTCTTAAACGTATGATTCACGGACTCAGGAAGAATTACAGGATGCAGACGGCCTAGCGAAGTGCCTCCCCCAAGGACTTCACATTTCCTTCCCCTTAATCTGAGCGAGCCATTAAAAAGTTAGCCTGTTCCCTGGAGGCTCCTCCCCAGGATTCTCCTCAAAGGAAATACTCACACTGGAAAGGTAATTTACCTAGACAGGGTTTAAGAAGCAAGGCTCCAGTTCAGAGACTGCCAGTGCCGTCCTGCAGGCTGGGGTCTCTTTTCAGGCCTCTTCCTAAAGTTAAGGAACAAAGGAAGATGCAGGGTAAACAAGCGCCACACGCCAAACACGCCACCCTCCAAACACACCACCCCTGCACCCTTTAGTATCGTGTGTAATTAACTTCCAAATATGACAGCTTCATAGTTAGTGTAGCATCAAAAGGTAAACATGCAGCCCCACCGCCCCTGCAAACAGGCTCCTCTTATCCAAATTTTGCATTCTGTTCGGAGAATGGTTTTAATTATTTGAGCTTCTGGTGGGAAAACTCTTTTCTGAGGGGTTGGCATGTGGGAGGGGAAGGAGATTCTTTGCTCTGGACCTTAGGGAGTGTTGTGGTCATTCAGCTTCACAGGACTTCAGGAAAATGAACTTGAAGGCTGATTCCCTTTTATGGCAAAATAACTCACATGAATTTGCCTTTTTCAAGTCACTGGAAGCAAGGCGTGTGTTTACAGAATGCTGCAGCTGTGTCTACAAAGCCGCTTGGATTCCCGTCTCACTGAGTCCCTCCACGCCACGCCCCTACCTCCAATCGCTCTCCTCTAGTCCAGAGCAACATGGCTGCAAAGAAAAGCATGAGTGAGGTTGCTAGACTCTCTTGGTTGCCATCTGTGAACTAATTTCCAGTGTTCTGTGGGAAGACACGTGCGAAACTGACAGTCACGCAGCATTTAGTAAGGACTTTCACATTTTCTCAGTCCAGGGTCACAGTGAAACTTTAGGGGTGGTCATGAGCACCGTCACAGCTTTGCTGCTCCAGTTGTGTGCGGACACACATTGAGCATCTGCAGACCCTTCAAAGAGTTACTTAACAGGTAGTTGTGAGGAGAAAATGGAGAGGAATATTACATACATACAGAAAAATGTAGAGAAAAAAAAAATGTGATACTAGAGATGGCCTTGATAATGAAAACCCCAGCCTATCAACACAGCCCAGGAGACTGATCCGGACAAAGCGTGACACAGCCATCTGCTCCCATCTTCAGAAATCTGAAGGATTTGCTTCCTAAACACTAGTGGATTAAAGGATTCGAGCACACAACCATCCTGTTGCTTCAAAGAACTCAGTGTTTTATGGCTGTAGGTCTGGATCCTGGCACTGCACCTTAACACAAGATAAGGTCCAGCAAGGAAGCTTCGGGAATTCTTTCATTGGCCTGTCTTTAATATACACAACTCTTCTAGTATTTGAATAAAAGTTAAATAGTGAGAAAGGGGATTTTTTTTTTATTACATCGAATTTAAACTGTTTACAGAGCGAAATTAGGAGAAATGATCAAAAGCGTCTCTTTGGTTGCCTAACATGCCACCATACACAGTAAAGCCACTCAGATTTGATGAGGATTCACCTCATTATTTCTTGTCCTGTGAAGTAGGAAAAACGGGGAAGAAAAATTTCCCTTTTTTGCTTATTTGCTTTTTATAAAACTCAA